ATCGGCCAGTCTCTATCACTTCTACTTACTGCTGAAGCCTCGCATTTGGTTTCTGTCTTAGCGCCACCCACCTGTCTGGAATCAGGAGACGGCATCTAGACTTCAAATGTGGTTGGCAAACACTTTGCAAACGAGAATCTCTTTGTTTTGTTGAGTGCGATGGGCTCCCTGCAGCACTGGCATGGAGGCTGGCACACCTGTAACCATCGCACAGGCCAGCGTTCCGCATCTCTGTGTCTCCAGCCAAATTTTGGTGGCCTCCCCATATTGCTTTTTTTTCCCCTTTTTGTTCTTCTATCCCTTTACAATGCTGAAACAAGGAGGGCGCTAGTCCCGTTATTTAACAGACATTCCCGACACTAAGGTTTTATTGGTTGTAACTGCAATTAAAACAGCTAATCTTAGTGATTCCAGCCTGGAAAACTCCCAAAGAGGTCTTTTCTTTGCTCCCTTGTTCCCTGTGTTAAAGGGGTGGGGGGGGGGAAAGTACCTGGTGAATGAAGTCTTAGGGTCTTTTAAAATCTGATTTCTAGTTTAGCTCCCCGGACATTTTAGTAACTCGCAAAGCCCCGTTTTGAGTATTCTGATGACCTGAATAAAGTTACTGTTGAGTAATTTATTCATATATGTACAGTGAAATCCTCTGGAAAGAGATTTGATAAAGGAATAAAACTTTTAAATGAACCAGACCACCCCTGTTGGCGCCGGCAAGTGATTGTCCAAACAGTTTTAGGCTTCTGATAGCTTCCCTGGGATTACAGATGTTAGCAGCGGTAATACACCAATGACCAGTTTACACTGTGCTTTGGGACACAAAAGGGGGCACCTAATTTCCACCCATGTCCAAGCCCTTTTATGCTACAGTAATGGTAAAAAAAAAAAAAAAAAGGAGCCTTGTGGGAATTGGGCCCCATGCACTGAAGGGCTAGGAACAGCTTCACACTGGGCACAAAGTCTCTTGTGCTATGAGTCTTGATGGTCTCTGAATAGCTGGAGGCATCTCCCAGCAAACGTTGGTAGCTGCAGTGTTCCCCACTCGGATCTGGGGGGCCTGCAGCTCAGTTCAGGGTATGGATGCCTCTCAAAGTGCCAGTCCCTGCCTGGCTGTTTTTTGGCTGCTGCTGTGGCATTCGGCCCTGGGAAGGAACAGGCAACACTTCCCTGCAGCTGGGCTGGCCCTGAATGGGTCAGATTGCTTCTCCCTGCAGAGCTGAGTCGAAGGATGGTGACAGGAGCAGTGGCTTGTCCATGGGTGTGTGGGGGGAGCTCAGAGGGGTCTCCAGCCCTGGCAGGTTTCCCTTGCGCCCTTCTCCGTGTTTGGGAGGACAGCTCTGATCCGAACAGGCTGTCGGGTGCTGGTAACCGGTTCTGGTCCCCCTCACGCGAAGCCAGTCCCGTCGCAGCCTGTTGTGCGATGAAGACGATACTTCCCCTGTCCCCGGCTGGTGGGGTTGTGTAGGGTACCAAGCTGCTCTTGCTTATGAGCCAGGGCACTGGAGAGCAGCATTGATGGAGCCATCGAGCCCTGACATGGCAGCTACTCAGGAGCGACTCCACCCAGGGCGCTGGGTGTGATCCAGCTGTCCGGGGCTGGCGGCAGGTAGGGCCTGGAAAGAGTCAAAGGAACAAATTAAACCTCATACATTTGTGATTCCCTTCCACCTCCCAGATCAGCTGCTTTGCTGCCAGCCATGACTGCTGTTGCTGTACTTGGGGTCGCAGGAAGTGGGCTGGTAGGAGCTCGGGGTCACTCAAGCCACTTGCATCTATACAGGAGAAAACCCAGCAGCCTGGACGAGAGGGACTGAAGCTAGGGGCGGGGGGCAGAAAAAACCTCTCTCCTGCCTGCCGCTTTTGTTGTCCGCCCCTGGCAGCGTCTGAGCTGTATTGGGTGGAGATTGGTGCTAGTCCTGTCCTGTTAAATACAAACCAGAGGCCGGGGCCTTTTAAGAGCTGCAGAATTGCATCCTGAGCTCCTGAAAGATTCAGCCCAGGAGCTCAGATCATGCCTACAGGCTTTGTGGCATAACACAGGCAACTGGGCATCCCCCGCCCCTGCTCTCGACTGATCAAACCTGTTCCTTCCCCACCCTGACTCCTGCCTCTCTCAGGAGCTGGGAGCAGCAGTGCTGGGGAGAGCCAGCATGGGCAGGGCTGCCTCAGGGCACAGGCTGGGGCTGGTTCTTCTGAGCCCTGTCCCAGACAAAGGGATCATCCATGGCACAGGCCCTGGAGGTGGGTGGGTGGGTTGGATGGAGGTAGGTCCACAGCTCCTACCTAGGCCTTGCAGCCTCCCGTTCCTGGGGACAGAGGTCTATCTCCTGGAAGCAGCTCATAAACGTTCTCCAGCCCTTCCTGGCCCGTGGCACGCATCGTGCCGCTCCAGATGGGCACCTTCCTGCTATAGACGGGGTCGTCGAACTCCAGCTGGGAGGGTGGCAGCACCTGGAGGGGACAGAGGAGGCACACGATGGAGGCTGGTTCTACCCTGTGCCTTTGCCTGACTCCTGGTGGGGGTCAGAAGGGATCTGTCCCTGGCCTGGCATCAGCAGGTAGGGTGCTGCACGGAGACCCCTGATGCCTGGGTTCTGCCCCACTCGGGGCTTCTTTCCAGAGGGGCCAGGCCCCAGGTACCAGCGGTCCCTTCTCAGGGGGAGCAACTCGCCCCAGGTTTGAAGAGCATCTGCCCCCCTGGAACACACCTGCAGCATGGGGCTGGACGGCCTTGAGGAGCCCCTGTCCCTGCTGGGAGCTGCCGGCAGCCGACGGCGCCTGGAGCCCTGGCTGGACACGCTGCGATGAAGCCGGCGGGGCAAGGGGAATGTCTGGGGCCGGCTGAGGCCAGGGGGCAGCGTGGAGGTCGTGAGCTGGACTTCCTGCGCAACGTCCACCTCGGAGTAGATGTTCTCAGGGCCGAGGTCCTGGGGCGACCCCCGGCCCACGGCGTAGAAGGGGATGGGCTCGTCAGGCTCGTGGTAGATGCGGCGCTCGGGGGGCACGGGACCCTCGCGGGGCTCGGCGTAGGTGTGGAAGCGCAGTAGCTGCTGGTACTTGGCCTCAGGAGCGGAGGGAGGGGTGGGGGGTGCTGTGTCCATCCAGGGGCTGCTGGGGACCCGAGTGGCCTTGGCAGGGAGCAGGGGGCCAGGACAGGCAGCCTGGGGGAGCAAAGATGCGGTGAGTCTGGGGCTGGAGAAACAGAACCGTGCTTGCCCCTCATCTGGTCCCATCTCACCTCTGGCGAGGAGCAGCCCTGGCTGGTGGCTTGGCGTTGCTTGTGCACGACGCTGTATGCTGGGCTCAATGCAGCATGGGGGAGCGTTGCTGCCTCGGCCCCTGCCGGGATCCCAGTGTCCACCGGGTCCTTGTCGCTCTGCAGCAAAGTTTGGGAAAGGAGAGGGGAGAGCTGAGCAACAGCACTGCTGCAAAGAGGGGTGCAGAGCACGGGTCCAAAGCACAGGCCTGGGTGTCAGGACACCTGGGGTCTACACCCCCCAGCATTGGGCGGAGAGTGTAAGAGTCAGGACACCTGGGTTTTTTCTCATCTCTGCCCTCCCCTCTCCCAGCTTGGGGTCATGTTCCCTGTAAAATGGGTGCAATCCTGCCCTGTTGTAGCTTGGGGAAGGGTAATGGGGCTATTTCTTTGCCTGCCTGCGATTTTGACCCTGTCTTTGCTGCCCGTGCCCCTTTTGTGCGGGCTGGAGAATCCCCAGTGACGCTACAAGGCTTATGACACACATGGCAGAGACAAGCCCCTGCTGCTGCCCTGGCAGTCTAGACGTGTCAGGGCAGGTGGGGGCAGCGTGGCAGGGCCCCTCTTACCCAGGCACAGGGCATGGTGAGGAGCTCGTAGTAGGGGTGGATGGGGGCCGAGGCATAGTGTTGCAGCAGCTCTTGCAGCCTGGCGTGCGCACTGTCCTCCCCCAGGATCACATAGTGCCCATCCTCCAGCTGGTCCAGGATGTAGTGCCGGCAGCGATCCCAGCCCCTGGGGAAACCGAGGCAGTGCCTGAGAGCCTGGCTGGGCTGGGGGTGACAGGTAAGAGCCTGGCTGGGCCAGGGTGATGGGCGCATCTCTCGATCCGCCTCCTGGGGCCCTCACCCAGGGCTCTCATCCCAGCCAGAGGCAATCGGGGCAGGCGCCGGGGACACCCAGGTGCTCACCTGTAGGACAGCACGAAGCCAACTGTGCTCTCGCTGAAGCGGATGAGGTAGCAGCCCAGCGGCTTGTCCTGCAGCAGCTGCTCGGACTCCCTGCACGGAGGGGGAGAAGGACATGTGGGCACGTCTGAGCACATGGGAGCCTGGAGCACCCATGCTGCTTGGAGCCCAGGGCACCCGGTGCTTGGCCCAAAGCAGAGTTGAGGGCATCTCAAGTCAAGCCCAGCTTGAGAACGGGAAAAAACCCAGGTGTCCTGGCTCTGCCCACCCAACAACACTCCCTCCCCAGGACTGGGAGGAACCCAGGCGTCCTGGCTCCCATGGTTTCTGCTCTGGTCCCCAGGGCAGCTAAGAGAACCCAGGTGTCTGGGCTCCCCTTCCCTCCTGCTCTACCGCTGGGCCCCGCCGCTCCTCCCACCCCGGTGCTGTATCCCCTTGGGGGTGTAGGACTGTGATGGTCCAGGGAATGCTATTCCCGGGGCAACCCCAGCTCCCAGCACCCCCCACCCCTCACCTCCTGCTGAGGAAGCCGTGGAACCAGTCGGGGCGCTGGCCATCAGGAAGGACCCTGCTTGCCTGCGTCTGCTCGAACCAAGCCTGGGTGCTGGCCCGGAGCGCAGCCGCAGCTTCGCCGGAGCCTGGGACCAGCCAGGGTAGCCTGGCAGCTGAGGCAGAAGGGGTCTGCGGGGGGAGAAGGGAGAACCAAAGAGCCCTGCATGAGGATGGGGGGCTGCAACCCACTCTGTGCATGGGGGACTGCCCACCGCAGCTGCAGGGCAAGGGTTAGGGTTAGCGATAGGGTTAGGGAAGGGCAGAAAGAATTGCCCTGGTCCTGCAGCGTGGCTATTATCTACCTATAGCTGGCAGACAGACAGGGTGCCAACACTGCACTCTGACCCCGTTCAAGCCCTGCCCTCCCCGGCCTGCGGCTCCCAACACCTACCTGGCTGGAAGGGGCTTGTTCCCCCTGGGAGCTGGGGTGCAGCTGTCCCTGCTGGGGCCCAGCTGAGGCCGCCCTACGTCCCTCCAGGGCTGGGGCTGAGCCCTCAGATCTGCCCAGGCCATGGGGATGGAAGGTACTGAAGAGCAGGGGCTCCGTGGGCTCCAGGCCATCGGCTCCTGCACAGGGTAGAGAGATACAGGATCAGGCCCTGCCTCGACACCCTGCCCTGGCTCCGACCCTCCCTTCAGCAGCAGGAGCAGGGGAAGCCCCCAGGGAGGGGCTGGGGGCGGAAGATGAGATCTGGTAAGGAGCTCGGGACCTGCAAAGCGGTCCGGGGATGCGGGGCTGCCTGGACACAAGCCAACAAGGCGGCTGCAGCAATGGTGACTGTGCCAGGGTCATGCACAAGCGTGTATGTGGGTGCATGTGTGTGGGTGGAGGGGGTTGGCTCTCCCCAGCCATGTGGCAGGAGCATGGTGCCCAGATTTGGGCCGGAGAGTGGATGCGGAAGCCCTGGCGGGGGTCCAGGGCAGCGCAGTGAGGCTGATAAGATGCCTGGGAATGCAGCTGGGCGTTGGCAGGGCAGAGAACGGGCTGCAGCCACGTCGCAGGCTGCCCTGGGGCCCTGATGCGGGGTTTGGGGATGTAAAAGCAATGGGTTTTGTTTGCAATCAGGGTGCTCCTGGATAGACTGGGGGAAATCTTCCCCCTCGCCCCAATACTTGAGCCTGAGGGCTGCTGGCTCTTGCATGTGAGCTTGACATTTCTCCTTCCTGACCTGTCCTCCAGGCACTTGGCGATGGGGAAACTGAGGCCCAGGGACTGTTGTGCCTGGGGGAAGAGCCTTGAGCACAGGGGCGACTTGCAGCTCATTCCCATTCCCCAAATGTCCTTCATCCCTGGAGAGGAGGGGACAGTCCCAAAAGCTCAACCTGGAAGGCTCAAAGGTCTGGAGCTGCCTTGCAGCTCCCGCACAGGTTTCATGCGCCGCTGGGGGAAGGGATGGGATCCCCAGTGAACAGCCAGCCCCTGAGGGCAGCTGTTTCCCCGTAAAAGCCAGGAGGGCTGGAAAGAGACTTCCCCAGGGGGAACAGTTGCATCTTCACCCTGGGGTTTGCTTGCAGCGCACTCAGCACTGCCCTGGAGCGGGCCCAAAGCAGAGGCTGCCTTATGCAACCAGGCCGGGGCCAGGTTTTGGTGGCGCGTAGATAAACTTCCTGTGCTGGTCGGTGCCCCAGATTCTTTGCCTGTGCTGAAAAAGTTTCAGCTGCCCTGGCTGCTCGGCTAGGGAGTGAGAGCGCGTGGATGGGGCCTGAGAGCTGGGGCGATGTCTCTTCAACCCCCCCCAGGACATGGGGAAAGGCTGTGTGATAACGTGCAGCGCCTAGCACCGGAAAGACTGTGATCCTGGCGCAACGAGACCCAGGTGGGGATTTGAGGGGAGGTTGAACGGTTAGAGAAGTGAGACAGGATAGGAAGCATCATTAACGATGCTTAGAAAACAAACCTGTTGAGACATGGGTGCCCCAGTGCTCTGCCTGTGTCACCCTTCGTTGTCTGTTTTGTGCAACGCCAAAATAATGGAGCACAACAAAGCTCCTGACCTTGCTGTCTGATCCCTGCCGATGCCCGCGATCTGGTCTCTGAGCCCAGGGGCAGAGCCTGACCCATTGCAGGGCTGACATGTAACGAGCGAGGTAGGTCTCAGCCCAAGTCCTTCCAGGCAGGGGTGTGTATTGCCCCCCTCAACAGCTGGATCCCTCCTGGGGCCAGCTCTGTAACAGGCCTGGGCTTCCTCCTACCCTCCTGGCAATGCTGGAGTGGTCCTGCCAGCCTGGGGGGGGGCACCCAGCAGCCCTCCACCCACCCCTCCAGGCCCAGGAAGCTGTAGGATTTGAGGAGTCTACCCCCAAGCACCTTGCAAGCAGCCCTCGCTGCCTCCAGAGTCACCCCCCTCCCCCCTCCGCCCCCCAAGCTGCTCCTACCTCTGTCAGGCCCTGGCTGGACGGCGAAGTCCATGCCTGCACCCAAGCCGGCTGGGTGGGCAATGCCAAGCCCGTGGCCCCCTCCCCGACCAGGCGCTGAGTGTGCCCCTGCCTGGCAGGAAGCTCGAAGGGCAGGAAGTGGCAAGCAAAGCCACAAGGCACGGGTGAGCAGGAGAGCACGACGTCACGGAAAAGCAGCCCGCAGCGGGGGAACGCTCCCCGCCCCTATCTGGGGCAGGTGTCTGAGATGGGCCCGGCTCAGCCAGGTTCGGGGTGGCCCCCACATGCATGGGTATGAGGGGCGGCTGAAGGAGCCTGGGTCTTGCTGGCATCAGGCTGCTTTGGGGGGGGAGGGCACAAGGACCAGACCCCCCCAGATCAGGGGCTTCCACAGCAGCACAGAGGCTGCACCCCTGCATGAGAGCTCTTCCACTGCCTCCTTGCATGCCCTTGGTCACATCACTTGTGTCACCAGGCTCTGGTGCCTCCAGGGGTGAAATGGACAGGGGCATCTCAGCTCCTTGGAGCCAGCTGTGATCCCACTGAAGTAGGGACTCTCTGCTCTTGGGTGGGGGTAGACCCCCTTGCCATCGTATGGTGCTGGAGCAGGAGGTAGGGGCACAGGCCTGGGTGTCTTCTGGACTAGAGGGACATGGTGCCTAGCAGGTAGAGGCAGGTAATAAAGCCAGACAAGCTGCAGCAGGACAGGCCATGGGCACAGAGCAGGGCTGCGAGATGCAAAGGGCTTGGGACTTCCAACCTCGGCAGGTTTCCTGGGACCACAGGGAAGGGGCCAGATCTCACAGACCAGCCTGGGTTTCCCAGGGCTCAGCCCAGCTCAGCAAGGCTGAGCCCAGTGCAAGGCTCACCAAGCTGTGTTTGCCCAGGGCTGGAGTGGCAACAGGAAGGGAGAAGTCACCAGGTGGGGAGGCCTGGGGCTCTGTGGTTACAGTGTCATTCACTGTTTGTTTTGAGGGGAGGAGGTTTCATTAATAGACTTTCTTTTCCAGGCTAAATCCCTTTCCGAATTAAGTTTGACTGAATAGAGCTCAATCGTTCCAGTCTGTGCGGCACTACCACCAGCCAGTCCCTACCTCCCTGGGGCTTCAGATGCTCCCAAATCCATGGCAGGTACCTACATGCAAGCCCTGAGTCCGGAGGCTTTGGGGTCCAGCTGCCCCCTGGTCTCACTTGCCCTGAGCCAGAAGGAGCAAGCTGGAGGGAGAGCCCGAGAGCAACCCACCATCACCAGGAATTGTGTAGTTGAGATCCTGGCGTTGGAGGCTTTTGCAGGGGTGCCCGCCCGTGGTGCAAGGGCCAGGTCTCCAAGTTATGCAAGGCTGAGAAGAAGCAGCTCTCCCCTGCCAGGTTGGTAAAACCACCCTCTCCCTCTACACATCCCAGATGTTGCACACTTAACTGCTTAGTTGTGCCCTTCTGTAAGATCAGCTACATGGATGTGAGCCTAAAGTCAGGGGCAGGGAGAGCCAGGGTGCGATCCAGCCTGGGCTTCTCCTTGGCTAGGGTGGGCAACCAAGCCAGGATTTCTGGGGTCTAGGTTCTGCTCTGGTTACAGGAGATCCAGATACCTGGGTTTACTCTGGACACTTGGGTTCACTCCGGACCTCTTGTGACTCCTCTCCCCAATTGCAAAGGGAGGATAGAGTTAATGTCAGGGCTGGGCATTTTTTCCCCCACAGATACACAGAAGTTTAGGGCCTGAAGGGACCTTGTGGCATCATCGGGCCCAGCCCCCCTGCTCTGGGCAGGAAAGACTCTTGGGGTGAAATAACCCCAGCAAGGTGTGCATCCAGTCTCCTTTTGAAGATCTCCAGGGTAGGTGCTTGCAGCACCCCCGCTGGGCGTCTATTCCAGAATCTGATCACACCATCCATGAGGAAGCTTTTTCTTATATCCAGCCTGAAACCTTCTTCTAGGAGTTTATGACTGTTACTCCTGGTTTTCCCCTGGGCACTTTGGTGAATAGTTGTTTGCCTAGCCCCTGATGCTCTCCCCTGAGACATTTGTAAGCTACCACCAAATCCCCACAAAGTCCTGTCTTTTCTAGGCTGAACAGTCCCGTATCTGTCAGCCTCTCCTCATGTGGTTTGCTCTTCAGGCCTCTAATCATATGAGTGGCTCTTCTCTGGACTCTCTCAAGCTTTTCCACCTCCTCCTTGAAGTGCAGCACCCAGAACTGGACGCAGTACTCCAGCTGCGGCCTCACCAATGCCAAGCAGAGTGGGAGCATAACTTCCTTAGCTTTGCTTGAGACGCATCGGTTGATGCATGCCAGAGTATTATTTGCTCTACTAACTGGAGCATTACACTGGTGGCTCATATTCATTTTATGGACTATTATGACCCCCAGGTCCCTTTCGGACATGGCGCACCACTGAGCCTGGAAGTTTGTTGTGGATTTTTCCTCCCTAGATGGAGCACTTTTCACTCCTCAGTGTTGAACAGCATCTGGATCCGGTCTGCCCATCTAACTAATCTGTCTAGATCTGCCTGGACTGTTAGCCTACCCTGATGTGTGGCTGCACTTCCCCACTGCTTAGTGTCATATAGTTGAAATATATATATATATAATTATAGTTATAAATAGTTATATGTATACACACATCATCTAGCAAAACCTTGTATTCAGACATTTTAAACCACGTGTAAAACCCATTATACCCATTACAACAAATGCTCCCATGCACCTGGTTGCAGTCCTTTCTGGGCTGGGCTTCCCTGGGACTGGGCACGCTCTCCAGGCCCCGGCGGTGTGGGGAACCGAGCCGTCTTCACCCAGTTTGATTTCAGCCCCTTGCTTTTTGGGGAGACTTTTCCAGGCTGCCCAGGCAGGGAGCAAGAGACATCCCGCTGGCACCAGCCAGTTTGCTTTGGAGAGACCTTGGGGCTGAGTGGAGAGTGACTAAGTTGACAGAAAAGAGGTAAAATCAGGTCATTTCGGCACCCAAATCCCCCACACAGTGGAGGCTCCTCTCTCCCACCTTGCACCCCTGCCTGGCCCTGGGGATAAGGCATCGTCACTTGTGTGCTGCACAGCGTGATGCCAGGAGCCCCTGGCTGAGCTCCGATGCCTGAAACCTGAGTGGTGGCTGCAGGGGCTGGACGTCTCCTGGGACCACCCTGTCTGCATCTCCCCCAGGGGCAGGGGTGTACCCCATCCCACCCCATCCCTCACCCTGCAGGGAAGCAAAGCCGGACACCTTCCCTGCAAGCGCCAGACAGTATTTTAATAGTTTGGCTTGTCAAGCAGATTTCCTGTTTGCAAACACCCTCCCTCCCCTCTGCAAACGCGGCCGAGAAAAGGGAAGAGCCGCGGAGGGGGGCGGTGCATTGGGAAGGGGCCGGTCCAGCCCCCCGAGCGAGCCGAGGCTTCGCCGTGCGCGGGGCCGGCAGGATCCCACCGCCGCCGGGCTGCTCGGGTCTGCGGGAGCACCCGGGGACCGGAGGACACACATCCCCGGCGGGGCCGTAGCAGAGGGACCGGACCAGGGGGTGCCCCCCCCGCAAGGGACACCGCAGAGGCTCGGGGGCTCCGGGGACACAGCCCTGCCCGGCGGGGGCGTCCAACTGCGGCACAGGTCGGTCCCCGGGGCTGGAGAGGGGGGTTGGATCCGGGCACAGCGGGGCTGGGACCCCTCCGCCTGCTGTTTTGCCCTCCAGGTGGTCCTCGGTGCTGGGGGCTCCGTGCCCCCCGGGGGCGCACCCTCCGGGTCCCCTCCGCCGGCTGCTTTGCCCCCCCCTCCAAGAGTGCTTCCAGAGAGCAGGCAGCGGGGGTCGGGTCCGGGACCCGGGCGGGGGGGTCTCCCACCTGCCAGAGACCCCCCTATGCAGGGCTGCTTGCGCGGGGCAGAGGGGCCGGCGAGGGAGCAGACCCCCGCCGCTTTGTGCCTCGGTTTCCCCGTGGCATGTTTGCCGGGGGAGGCTGGAGGAGGGGGACGCACTGGGTTGTTTCCCTCTGATTCAAACAGGGAATAATATTTATCCTGCGCAGCTGCTGCTTGTCCCCGCCCGGACCCACCGCAGAGGCCGGGGCCGGGGCCGAGCTCGGGGGCGGACCCCGGAGTCGATGACCCGGGGCAGGCGCTGCTTTGCGGCTGGAGGGAGGGGGCAGGAGCCCCCACGCGTGGGCCGCGGGCTGGGTCCGTGGGCTCCGGGGGGGTGGTGAGAGAGCAGGGCCTAGGGGCAGAGTTTGTGGGGCAAGGGTCTCAGTGTTCCCACCTGGGAAATGGGCGCACGGGAGATGTGCTGCTGGGGGGAGGGAGAGGCTGCGACCCCCGGGCAGGGCGGACTGGGCATCTGGGTTTCGGGGAAGGGGAAGAACCCAGGACCTCGGGGGTTTTCCCCAGGCCGTGGCTGCAAGCTGCTGGGCGGCCACCGTTGCCCCCCGGCCCCGGGGGGGGGGGGGCGGTGGGCGG